CATTGGTTATTCGTAATGTAAGGTGTTAGAGATTGTATAACTAAGCCCCTTCCCTTTAAAAAAAAACTAAGTCCCTTCTGAATTTTTTGGGTCTTTATAGATATCGGCCGCACGTTTTTAAGCCTGGGGTTAGGTTTTATTCGTGATGAACCGAGTTACCAAATTTCGTGTTCTTTCTTATTGTTCTTCGCGTGTTGTGTGAGTTTATTCTTAACACGTAATGGATTAGTAAGTGGACTTTTGAAGAAGTTTAGTGCACTTGGACTAAATCACATTGATGTTTTTACTTGGACTGTTTTCAATTTCAGATCAAACTTAAACAGACCAGATCAGACCTCCGTAGTTATAAAACACAAAGAAATCAGACACATTACCAAACTAGACCAGTAAATTATAGTAAGTAAAAACATCCTAAATGAATGCTTTCAATATAGGATTTATAATGATCGCAGTGCCTCTCTTATTTGACATAGGCATGGCAATGGGTCGGGTTAGGCCCGTTAGGGCGGGTACTACAAGACCCAGACCCACCCGGGTCCAAACTTGTTGACCCATGACCCGCCCCGCCCCGCAGTAACCTTATTAGCTAGTATGTATTTTTATTTGTGGGAAGTTGTTACCAATTGAATCTACATAAAGTTTATCTCTAAATAATAATTAAAAATTAATATATTAAATCAAATTCATGATACGCTAAATATTTCAAAAATTAAGGAAAAATTACTCAGACTTGAATAATAAATCTATTTAACTATATTAATCATTGAATATATGTATTAAAATGCTATATATAAAGAAGACATTGATAATCCATCGTTCATCTCATTCTAATATATACTACTACGTAATATATTATAAGATCAAAGCATTTATAATTTATTGTATACACACATATGTATGTTGAAGTATATTTGTAGTATAATTTAAGAAAAAGTATATATACTTATATATTGAGCGGGTCGGGGCGGGTCGGGGCGGGTCAGGGCGGCACGGGTCAATTCTAATACCCGGACCCGCCCCATTTGCAAGACGGGGCGGGGAGGACCCACCCCAAATGTCTCGGACCAGGGCGGGTCATTGTGGGTCGGGTTTTCTTGACATCCGTGATTTGACATTCAAATGTGCATCAAATATCAATGCTTGTTTGGGGGACCGTTCTGTCCTTGGTTAGAGGTTCTTACACCCTTAACTTTTTAGGCTTGACTAGTGCAGCAGTATATAAGGTTGTAAAGACTGCTGATAAAGCAATAATTGATATGGAAAAAGAAGAATCTCTTTGGGGTGAGTTTATGCATGCTAGATATATGAAATTTGCATGCTAGATATCCTAGAAACTGCAATATGAAATTATGAAGGCCAAGCTTCTAGATTCTCGAATGTGGAGAAAATTTTGGTTGTGACTTGTGAATGATACTGCAGAGGAAGTCACTGTTGGGCACATATGGCACTTTAACTTGGCTTCTAAGTTAGGATAGTTACTTCGGCATTGGATTGACCCCATCAAGAATGCATGTTCAAATATGGGATGGGGCTCAGTTCTCCTTCCAAAAGACATGACATTCAAAAACAAACATTTGAAATTCATGGTTTTCTTTAGGGCCATTTCACATTTTCACAACATTTTGTCATTTCCATTGAACTTAGAGGATTAGTATATATAAATATATTGAGACACTTACAAGGTGTTTAATATGATGCTCTAAGATATAAGTAAAGACCAATGTTTCTATGGATGCTCAAAGTTAGGAAATTGAACATTCCTTCATGGGTATTGTTAGTCATGGACGGGCCTGGTCCGGTTCCGGGTCGGGCCTGATCGGGCCTTTTTTTAAAACTTGGAACCCGGCGCCGGCCTGTGTGTTGAACGGTTCCGGTACCGGGCCAGGCCACCCGCCCGGGTACCGGGCCGGTCCGGTTCTGGTTCCGGGTCGATTTTTTCTTGTTTCCTAATTAATTCTTGAAATGCTGCATAAAAAAAAACTTCAAGTACATTTTTTTTGGACATATAAACTACAATTGAGAATTGAGAAAAAAATTAAAATATGAAATACATTTTCTAATAAATAATATATAATAATCCATCGGAATCTCCGCCACCGTCGGTTGTTGTTTCCTCCATAAAGTGTTGGGTGGGCCGTGGGGGTGATGCTAAGCTCTTGAGTTGCTACCAATCGTGGTAGCAAACAAGCGTCACAATAGACTTTGCTAGCTTCCCCTTGTCATCGGGTGATGACAGGACTTAATATGTCTTGTGGCGTTCCCGTATCCTTGTGAAATCCCCAAACTACAATCTTTCTTGCATCACTTGCAAGTTGCGTACCACTTCTCGGTCTCCGGGTCCTTCCACTTATCAAAATTATTTTCCATAAGGGCATATTGACTTTTCTTCTTACCGGCAGGTTGGGATGAGCCACCCGGCCCACCCTCATTCTCGTCCTCGTCGGGGTTGCCGTCACCCTCATCCTCCGGTGCTGGCGGTGCATCCTCATCCTCGAGCTCTTCTTCTTCTTGAATGTCGGGGATGTCACGTGGTTGGAAAAAGCACCCATTATGTTCGTTCAATGCTTGTTTTAGTTGTTTGCCGGACATCGCAATTGCATCTCTCCGTTGGTAACCCGTGTCAAAATCATCTCGGCTTTCAGAAGAAGACATGATATGTCCTTTACCTTTGCATAAAGAAGGATGATTCTTCGCAATCTCCTTCCTTCGGTTCCGAGTGAGGTTACCCATATCAACCGCATGTCTACCACTTTGCATCTTAAAAATGTAACAAATATTAAATTGCAACAAATATGTTAATATGAGTACAAAAGCAATGCAACTAATAACAAATGTTATAAATTTGATATGAGAATCTAACTGATATTATAATATATTTAAAATATATATTGAATAGTAAAATTAGTAGTTATAAGTAGATAATTAATATATAGGCAGATCGTAGATATATTAATTGTATAAATAGTAAAATAGATGTATAAGAGAATAAGAGAATTTGAGAAGATGAAGATGGGGATGATTAAGAGTATTAGAGAGTAGAAAGAGTTGGAGAAGAGGTGTAGGAAAATGTTAGAAAATAGGAGTATTTATAGTTTTTTTGTACCCCCACCCCCACCCCCAACCCCCCGGGACCCCCCTCATTGCACCCAACGGCTATATAGCAGTTTGGGGCTTTTCCCAATGGCTAGGAGCCTAGGAAGAGCTGGAAAATATAATTTTTTTAAAAAAAGTAGCCGTTAAGGCCCGAACCGGGCCGGTTCTCTATTTAGCAGTCTTGGAACCGCCACCGGTAAGAAGGCCGGGTCGGGCTAAAGCCCGGTACCAGAACTGAGTACCCGGGTTGGGCCGGTCCCGCACAGTAGCGGGCCGGGCCGATCGGCCCGTACCGGTTCCATCACTAGGTATTGTGCAGGTGAATAGACCAACTAACCCTTCATTGAGGCAAATTATATTGAGTTGATGGTTGGCAGCTAAACACAGTATCCAAATAAAGAAATGCATGCTTTACTGGTGCTTGGATTACAATGGAGTCAAGTTTAGGAAAACATGATGCCTAACAACTACAATGGGGTAAAAAAAAAGTAGTCAGCAGGAAAAAGCTCAACACCACCAGCCTAAGGTTTGATGTTGATGAAGCATTCAATCATGTCAAAGGTGCAAGAGGCATATGATGTCAGGCTACACCCACTTCCAAGTGGAAACTGATCCTATCTTCTTATCAAATAATAGATCACTAATGAACGTCTCCATGGAAACATAGAAGCACTCCATTGATCAAGAGAAATGGATAATGCACCCCATTTCTTAGCTAAAATTTGGTTTATATTCTTCAAGTTCAGAGGTTTTCTTTGAAGTCCATACACTGACACAACTTGTAAAAAGGTGCACTAATCAGTAATCACATGTCCACATTTTAAAGCTAAGGCACTCCTTACCTAATACCCTCTTAAATAGTATCTTTTTTTGTTCAACATATGTGCCTGTGTTGAAATGCTATGTACTGGTTGACCACGTTGATCTCCAGGTTATTATAATGTGTGTTACAGAGTGTTGTAAAGCACTCAACTTATTCATCCTATTCACAAACAACAGCGACAAAGCATAAAGTATGAACACAAATGGTTTGTTTACGCAGTTCAGTCCGGGGTACGTTGTTCCACATTTGTGTAATAACCCTTCTACCAAATCTTAGGTCAGTATGCGACTTTTAACAGAATTGAATAACTTTCTTCATGTTTCTAACTTCTAGTCTCTCTTCTCTGACCTCAATGCACCTTGTGGTTTTTACCCGCGATTACGACACCTTCACCAATCCTCTACTTAACCATGCTATAAAAAATACATGTATGGTGTTCTTTTTGGTTTGACACTAAAAGAGATCTCTCTAACCCTTTACAGCCATTTCTTTTCCTCTTTCCAACCTTTCCCCTTCTCTTTACTACTGCCCTAATTTCCATCCAAATACATCTTTCCTTACTAGTATCAGCTGGTTTTCTCTTCACTCACCCTATCTCGCTCAATTTCATCTATGTTATCCTTTTATTTGAAATGCTTACTCAACCATGTTGTAGTAAAAAAATAAAGATCACTGTCTAATTATAGGGTATGCACTCCATATGTACTTACATACAGAGTACTACATAGTATACATGTTTTATAATATTATTTACATGTGGTTTAATATAGTTTAATAAACATTAGATGTTTAAATAGACATATGTATTAATGCATGTGTGTGTTATTTATACTTCAAACTTGTATTATATGTGTCTTTGGAATGTTACAATTATAACGCCCAGACTTTCCTTACTAAAGAGAAACTTGAGAGAGTTTGTCGAGCTTTAAAATTCTAGTGTGGTACGGTGTATCACTGTATCATAATGTTGTTGACTGCTTTTGGGGGAAACACCATTGTGAAAATCGTTTGTTGTTACATATATATTCTATACGGAGTATTAATTAATGGACAGACAGATATATTCTTTTTTATTTTGCTGGTCAAGAACTGTATCATAAACGGTCCAGATATGATCATTATTTCCCATATTATTATACGCTTATTCTCTTTTATATTGCTGCTAAAGATTGGTACATAATCGGTCCAGAAATGAAGGCGGACCGGACCAATGTCGTGTCCACCATACATTGGAGATGGCACTAGTATTTCATAAGCTCCATGTCTTAGATTCTTCTTAGTTCCTTACAAATTGTAGATAATATAATATAAATAAATATTTTGTAGCAAATAATTACCCAAAGGAATCTACGAATATATTAATTCCGATTATTTGATACGACCGAATATAGGCGCACTCTAAAGGGATACCCAAAAACATAAGAACGAGTCGCAATTCAATTCACCAGTATAGAATTGCAAATCTCTAACAGTAACCCCCACCTCTGATAGAGACTGGTAGATCAAACAAACTGACCTTAGACTTTGCACTTCATTATTTTATACATATTAATATTTGATTTTGCACCCCACTTTTGGGTAATCCGGGGTGCAAAGTCAAATAAAACAAAACATGGGGGTGCAAAGGTCTAATTTTGAAGTAAACATGCAATGGAAAATCCAGATTTCCAAAAGAACATTTGTGTTCGACTCGACCAAATTACTGCATACTCCGTATTTCATAACGGAACCACTCTAGGTATCGTTCGCTTTTCAAGAGTTCCCTTTTCATGCCACCGCAATGATGGAATCTCCACTATTCAAACTGGACACCGCCGGATATAGATGGTGCCTGGAAGAATGAGTTTGTGTTTGATCAAACGGCAATGACAAACTCAAGGACAATGATGAAGGCTCCATCTCCACACTCTCATTCAAGTTAATGACAATGCGGGTTGATGGATTATTCAAATGAGGTACAGGAACTGGCAAAATGAACGCGGCCGATGGATCACTGTGCTCATCAGTTGGAGTAGTGGTAAGATTGCGTATTGGCTTTTCCTCAACTTGGATTTGTTGCACACTATAACTGATTTGCTCAGGTGTACTGGCAAATGCAAATGGACTGTTTTGGGATAATTCTGAAATAGGCAATGGGCTGGATAGAGATCCGGGGGTTGAGTTTGCTGTAAGAGATTCTTGCTCTTCGGTTAACATCGGGGTAACCTGTTTATCACAAGATGGTACAAATTTAAAACTGTGGTACACTTATAACAAGTATTGTTTCAACACAGGCAAATATAAAAATATACTATATTAAGATATATGGTTTCTTCTAAAATGGAACACATGATATCAAATAGTATAAAAATATACTATTAAGATATTTGATACTCCCTCCGTCCCAAAAACAACTTCCCACTTTCCTTAAATGGATGTCTCAAAATTAACTTCACACTTCAATACTTTTCTTATTTGGCAAATTATCTACATAAAAAAAGTGATAAACAATGCCAAACAGTGTTTAAAAAGTGCCAAACAGTGCCAAACAGTGTTTAAACAGTGCCAAACAGTGTTTAAACAGTGCAAAACAGTGCACTCTACAATAAAGTCAAATTTATTTTCTAAAAGTGTGTGAAAGTCAAACCGGGAGGTTGTTTTCGGGACGGAGGGATACTTAATATCTTAACAGTATCAAATACTACGTAGTACGTACTACTAAGATATTGTTTGAACACATATTGGTTTCTGACCAACCACTACACTATAAAACGGTTCATAATAAACACACAACACCAAGTAAGTCTCGTTTGTCCCAAACATATTTATTGCTCATCGGGCTTTAAGAAAAGAAGTTTTGTGGTTTACAATGTTTCCCCACTAAATAATTTTCATTTTCTTTAATTTCTTTTTTTTTGGTCAAAATAAGCAAAAATTTAGGGACGCGTGAAGTTTTCATAGTGAGCCACTACCTTTGAGTTTTATACGAGTATAAACCAGAAGGGGAGCACTCATTCATCGAACTTACTTAGTTACTTTCCTTTGTCCCACTAAAAACTCACTCATATTTTCACTTAGTAAAGTGAAAGTTGTGTATATAGAGCCCATTTGGTGACCCATTTTTTCGTTAACTTTTGATTTCGTGCGCTGAATTGTGTAATAAACAAAAAAAGTAAGGTTGGAGTTATTTTTCTGGCTGTATTGGCTGAAGTTATTGTGGAGGATCATTTTAGCTATTTTTTCATTTAATTTTTTATTTTATTTATTAATAAAAAATATTTTAAATATAATTTTCTCATGAATCAGCAGAATCAGCCAATACAACCAATTCAACCAGAACTTCATAAATTTCAGCAGATTCAACCATTACAGCCAATTTTAGTAAAAAGGAAGAATTTTGGATTGAAGAGTCCTAGTTGGTTAAACTTGTGCGAGGAATTCAGAACCTGGAATTTAATGCTATTGCCATTTCAATCAACTGAAAACGGTAGTTTTGGCAGGACCCCAAGAGTAATAATTACGGAGTATAACATTCTAGCTAATAAATGATCATACACTATTTTCTTTTGCTACGGAAAAGTTAATGTGGAAAGTTTTGTTGTTGAATTAATTACCGAATCCGTAGTGATGTCGAAGAGGCTAGATCTGCGTCGACGTCGGCGGTTGAGGTTGCTCCGACGGAGGAAGTACTTCTGAGCATGACTTGCCACTTGAGTGGGGGTTCGGGTCTTGACGAAGTTTCTAGAGATTCCTCTCCAATCTCCCTTCCCGACCTTCTGCAAACCTAATAGAAACAGTTTGTGTTCTTCCTCTGTCCATGGAACTCCTGATAAAAGAAGCCTTTGATCAGCATAATGAAAAACAATAAATCATTTTCGTTTTTTTTTTCACGACAAGGAAATTTATTATCCCCCAAATAATCCACAAGCTGTAAAGTGGAAATCAATTTTTTCAAAAGTCCAAAAACAATCCACAAGTTGGAAAGTGGAAACGTTTTTTAAAAAGTCCAACAAATCCACAAGCTGGAAAGCGGAAAGAATTTTTTCAAAAGTCCAAATAATCCAAAAGCTGGAGACCGAAAACCAATTCAAGGCGCTGGCCAGATGATCCACAATCTGGAAAGTGGAAGGCAATTTTTTCAATTTTGAATTGATAAGTTCAGACTAACTCTCCGATGATAAAATTCGGATGCAAATAAGAGCTACATCTACATCCCGAAGATTTTGATGGGAATGATTTATGCACCACTTTCAACTTATCAATACGATATGAATCACAGAAGCAATTAATTCTCAATCTGATAACTCAAAACGAAGGTGGGGAGAAATCGGACCTCGCTTACGCTCACGGCCGCCGGTAGGCTGATTGAGGAGGACAGCGTCGTCGGCCGACGCATATCCCTCGTCGGCGAGAGCAGTCGCCGATTTGGTGGATTCGATCATCTTGTTGTAATCATACTGAGACAAGTTATTCAGACTAACGCTCTTCCTGAGAGGGTCTACTTTCACTCTGACGCCGAACAGAATGATCTCGCCGGCGCCGTCGACGGCCGACGACAAGGCGCACGACCTCATGTGGTGGTTATCTCTTCCACAGTGATGATCGGCCATCACCAATCCTCCTCGGTTATATCAAAGAAATCAGTGATGATTTATGAATGAAGCAATCAATTTATTGAAACTTGAAATATTTCTGCGAATATATTTATTACTAATAAAATAAACTGAGATAGAAGGAATATTTATATTGAGATATATGTCCGGTTTTAGGAAATCGGGCTACAAGGGAGCCGCGAGTTTTGCGGATTTATACACTTTATTTTGTTGCCACTTTACATCTCTTTGAATTGATGCCAAAAGAATGTGTGGTACGACAGTACAAATCCAAACAAGATCTTCCTGCTAATCTTTATTTTTGGTTTAGAATCGGTCAATTTTATTTTTTAAACTCATAATTTTATCTGGTAACAATAATTTACTTTACTGTATGGCGTAAAGTTTTAGATGGTGAACGTCATCACCTCACTGGCACACTTTAATTTCACATTTTACTCTCACATTTTTTTAAAAAAATGGACAACATCGAGCGTCCATTAGTAGGTGGTGATGACGGTGGTGTTTGACAACGAAGCTGAGTGAAAGTAGAAAATTATAATCCATAATAAAAATTAATGATGTGGTGCAACCAAGCATTCCAGTCCAGCTGGTTGCGAGGTTACCGTGTCTAGTGAGAGGTCTCGAGTTCGAAACTCACTAGGCACATAGAGGATTGAAACTCAATGGGCTGAGTTTCAACCCCTATTACTCCAGGCATATTTTAGCTTCATTGTATAAATAATCCCTACTTTTATGCATTTTACAAAAATAATCCTTACCGGAAAAGTTTACAACAATAATCCGAACTACTTAACTCTTTCACAGAAATAAACCGGAGTTAACGTTGTTGACTTTTCCGTTAGTTGTTTTATTGCATTTTAAATATAATGAAGCTAAAATATGTACAAACACCAACATTATTATATACTTCGTATATTTGTCCTTATATTTACTTTTATTATGAATTAAATTTAATAGTCATTATTTTTCATAAAATGTAATAGAAATATTTAAGAACGCACTCATCAAATTCTCATTTTTCTTTTAGTTCTAATCAGTATTTTATTTATATTCATTTTTATTTCATTGTATAAGAGATTTAAAATTAGTTTTAGTAATTCTATACGAAGTACTACATATTAAACATTACCACGTACTAAAATCAATACAAGTCTGTGTTCAAATTTTTATTATATTTTACAAAAAATAGTTATTATTAAATTAAATTTATAGTAGAAATAAGACTAAACAAAAACATAATATTGTTAATGTTTTTATATATATTTGCTTCATTTTATTTTAAATTTTAAAAAAAAAACTAACGGAAAAGTTAACACCGTTAACTTCCGGTTTATTTTTGTGAAACAATTATCCAGTTGGGATTATTGTTGTGAACTTTTTGAGTAGAGATTATTTTTGTAAAATGTCTAAAAGTAGGGATTATTGATGTCAATTTTGCCTTATATATATATATATATATATATATATATATATATATATATATATATATAGTAAAATCGAGTTTTGAAATGTTGATGTGCCGCTCTATGATTAGCTTCTAATAGTAATTATTAAATTCATTTTTACAACCATTATTTAATTTCTTCAATGATGAAATTAAATACTACATCCGTCCCGTTGAAAGGTTCTCATGGCAAAACGGTACGGTTATTGAGACAATAATTAAATAAGGTAGTTCGAGTATATTTTGAGAAATAATTTTAATAGGTATATAATATATAATATAATGGGATTAATGTTGATAATTGTGATATTATAGATGTATTATTTTTAAAATTTAGTGATTGATTTGTTATTTAAGATTGTTAATTGTTTCCTAAAATGAAAAATGTTAACCTTTATGAGACGTTCAAAAAGTAAAGTGAGAATTTTCTATGGGAGGGAAGAAGTAATTGTTATGCTTTTTTCCTGTAACATTTAATTAATTTATTACATCTACATAAGGTACTTATTGGTTGGACAATGCATGAAAAGCTTCACACACACACACACAAATTCTGCACATGACTTTAATTACGTAGTATTATTTAAGTATACACAACCCCAATAAATAATAATATTATACTTCATTTGCCCCAAATCATTTTGCAAAAATGATTTATAAGTTTGGCTAAATATAAAGTTAATCCTTTTGAGACAATTTTTTACGTTAGTGATAGCAATAAGAATGTGTACATCTTAAAATTAGATTAAAAGGTTTATTGAATTGCAAAGTTCAAATCTAAAAATGACTACAACGTGATACTCAAAATTAGAGGAAAGGATATTGTATCGAAATCGAAGTGTATTGTATAATATACTATGTATATATGCACTGTTTTTCTATGAATATACACAACACAAATAACGTTAATAGACTTGGAGAATTTTTTTTTGAACGAATGCGTATCTTTTAAGACTTCTCTACTTAGCCCTAAGAAACTATTTATTTTGATTATTGGATCATCAATTTCTACAAAAATAAGGGTTTTTACAAGAATATTACTAAAATAAAACTTATTTACATAATTATGACTATTCATTACTACAACGTAGTATTGTGGTAACTTAAGTTCAAAACTTGAACACGAATTACTATGATTTCATTACTACTCTAGTAATTAATCACATTTTTGTAAGTCATCTTTATTTTGGTCATATTTATGTAATTATCGACTAAAAAAATTAATGTCTATTATACGTTATTAGACGTTATTGTCTAATATATACTTCCTCCGTTCTCTTTTAATTGCAACAGTCAACATTTCATGTTTGCCAACGCACAAGTTTGACCATTAATATCTTTCGTTCCTTATTATTAAAAAAATTAAAAAATTCATATTTTGAAAATTTAGAATGAGAAGAATTTAACAATATTTTTAAAAAATTTCATTTATAATACATTAATTAATAAAATATAGTCAAAGTAGAATATGTGAATAGTGTAAAAAGTCCAATGTTACGTTGTTTCTTTTTCTGGTTTAAAAAAAATTGCTTTTTCACGTTAGTACTGTTCTAACCTACTAAATACAAGCTGAAGGATTGCGGCCTTGCGGGCAGGAGGTCTCTACGGAGTAGGGTTTTGACAGCGTAGCAATTCTAAGCACTATAAGAAGGTTTATATATATAGCGAAGGGATTCGATCAGGAGGTGGCTTGAGGTTGGAGACAGGCACTAGGCGACAACTTCTCAACAACGATCTAGAGATACGAATGGAAGGTTCGAGATGGAGGACAACCGGACAACTCAGAGGTAGGCAGACATAGATGACTTGTCACAAGCTTATTGCAAGTTTCAAATGGAGGAGGAAGATGAAGTTCTTTTGATGGAAGTTTTGAATCCAAATTGGAAGCAGATGAATTATATTGTTGATGATTCGTCCCCTCATGAATCGTTGTTGTGTAGTAAAAGAGTGTATAGGGTTTGGAAAAAAATCTGCTTTATTTTTATTTCAACTTTTATTTTTCTTTAATTTGTTAGACAATTTACATGTTTCTTGGATTGTTTGCATTTGTAGTAATCTTGAGATGTTTCATTTAGCTATGATCAGAGGTAATTGCTTCGAAGCCATATTATGTTCAGCGAAAAGCTCCGCTCAATTTTTGGTAAGCTTTTCTATGCTTGATCAGATACGAAAAGGACCCTTTTAAGATACGAAGAGGACCCTTTGATTATCACGAGTCTAGGGAAGTGGTGAAAAGTACGGTGATCTTAAAGTTCAGTAAGAACTTTATGTTGCTCGTTTGATGGTCACTGATTTGTACTTCTTCTTTGGAGAAGACCATTTCAGAATCTAGTCGTATGAAGTCGCTTGAGTTTAGATGAAGTTTGTTGGAAACTATTTGGATGATTGTAACTCTGGATTCATTTGGTATTTTAATATAAGTCTACTGTCTATTCTATAATAAAAGAAGTTGCTTTTTCACGCTTAGACGCAGGTGAATATCAAGCCATCATGAAAATTTGTGTTTTTAAAGGAGAAACGTCTATATTGATATCATTAGAATCAGGATCGTTACATCAATCTCAAAGTGATCATAACTGACTACAACCTTCAACTCCCAACTACTACTCTTAGCCCTACGATTAGACATAGAGACGATCACCCGTGAAGGAGCAATACAAATCGCTAACCACCAGATAGGCTTAATGCAGGTATTGTTGAACAAATAGATTTGCGCCCCTCTAACAATATCAAATCTAGCCGAACCCTCGGTTAACATAATAAACCTAGTACCAAGAACAATAATCAAAAGCAAAACGATAACAATGAAGTTCATAATTAACAAACAAAAAATGGGAAAAACAAAATTAAGCAAGATAAACTGATTGAGCAGTTGAATCCATCATTTAAGCGTCGTGTTCCAATCCCTAATTTCTTAGTTCCTCCATGGTGGCGGTTCAGGAGGGGGGCGGTGTAACACTTGAGATTTAATATAAACAGATTAATAGTACTACTCATACCAACAAAATGCATCTCCTTTTAAGGGATCTCATCAGCTAAGAACTCCAAAGTTAAGCGTGCTTGCACGGGAGTAGTCTTGGGATGGGTGACCCCCTGAGAAGTTTCTCAGGGCACTCACGAGTAAAGACAAAGTGCGCGGAAAAGGCTAGTGGCGGTTTGTGGGGACAGTACTAGAGATTTGGAGGGTGTGTGGAGTAACTACCTCGAGTCCTGCGGGACCGGGGTGTTACAGGCGGATCTTCATCACTTCATCTTCTTCGTTCATCACCTTGATCTGCATGTGAGTCGCCTCCATCTCTTGCCCAAAATACTACACGAACACAGCCAGTCCAAAAGCAAGCAACCTCCACATCTCCATCATCTGAATAGCCTGCCTCCTCACCATGTTTACCCTATTGTTCATCGGCACAAAAAATTCCACTACTACTTCCGCTTGCGTATCCTCCAGAGACTGTCTCCCTGCTTCGACCGTCGTCACCTTCATGCTCAAGAAGATCAGCGCTCGTTGGATATGCCTTAGTAAATCGATCGCCCTTCCCATGAGGAAGTCTGGATAACCTCTTCCCTCGTCTGCTTTCAACTTGCCGAGCGATGAAAATCCTAGTTGTGTCTCTCCGCCTTTTTGGGATGTGATCGTCTAATACACTAAGGGCCTGTTTGGTAACAGCTGCAACGGCTGAAATGACTGAATCTGCTTCAATGGTTGAATTTGGTGCAGTGAAAGAATTTGATAATATGTTGGCTGAAATAACTGATTGAATGTAAAATTACTATAAAGTGTTTGTGTTA